ACTTATTCAATCTGTATGATGAGCAAATAATCTGAAAAGCTGGACTATATGAAGAAGAACTCGGCATCAGGATTGGAGGAAGACTTATCAACAACCTGCATTATGCAGATGACACAACCTTGCTTGCTGAAAGTGAAGAGGACTTGAAGCACTTACTGGTGAAGATCAAAGACCAAAGCCTTCAGTATGGATTACATCTCAACATAAAGAAAACAAAAATCCTCGCAACTGGACCAATAAGCAACATCATGATAAATGGAGAAAACACTGAAGTTGTCAAGGATTTCATTTTACTTGAATCCACAATCAACGCCCATGGAAGCAGCAGTCAAGAAAGCAAACGACACATTGCATTGGGCCAATGTGCTGCAAAAGACCTCTTTAAAGTATTAAAAAAGCAAAGATGTCACTTTAAGGACTAAAGCGTGTCTGACCCAAGCCAGGGTGTTTTCAATCACCTCATATGCATGCAAAAACTGGACAATGAAGACCGAAGAAGAACTGATGCCTTAAATTATGGTGTTGACGAAGAATATTGAATATACCATGGACTGCCAGAAGAATGAACAAATCTGTCTTGGAAGAAGTACAGCCAGAATGCTCCTTAGAAGCATGGATGGTGAGACTTCACCTCCCATACTTTGGACATGTTATCAGGAGGGATCAGTCCTTGGAGAAGAACATCATGCTTGGCCACATAGAGGGTCAGAGAAAAAGAGGAAGACCCTCCATGAGGTGGATTGACACAGTGGCTGCAACAATGGGTTCAAGCATAACAAGGGTCGTGAGGATGGCACAGGACCAGGCAGTATTTCGTTCTATTATACACAGGGTTGCTATGAGTTGGAACTGACTCAGCGGCACCTAACAACAACACAGTGTCTGGTACTTAATGGGTACTTGATCAATATTGTTGGCGGTCTATAAATATTGTTGGTGCTCAATAGACAGTTGTTGAATGAAAGATGAAATAACACATGAGCACCAAGTATGTGTGTGGTTGATCTAGTGTACAGAGATTTGCCCAGGCTAAATGTGAACTATTTGGGAATCCTGCCATTCTACTCCATCCTTCCCTCTCTCTTAATTAATATGAATCTCTCATATCTCACCAAATTCAATCCTAAAAGTTTATTTGAGTGTTACTTCTTGAATACTTCAAAGCCAGATAAGAAAATATACTCTTTAAATATTTACTTTAAAAAAACCCTGAAACATCATATTTTAAATTAATTTTTTTGGAGATGATTTCTCATGGGGAAATGACTTCCTTCTTTGGTCAATACATTTCATTCTTCTTTCTCTCTCCCTCTTTTTTTTTTGAACATTTTATTGTGGTTTAGGTGAAAGTTTACAGAGCAAATTAGTTTCCCATTCAACAATTTATACACAGCTTGTTTCCTGACATTGGTTGAAAACCCCTAAATGTGTCAGCACTCTCCCCTCTTCCTCCCTGGGTTCCCCTTGTCCATTTGCCCAGCTTTCCTGCCCCTACCTTCCTTCTGAATTTGCTTTTGGGCAAATGCCGCCCTTTAGGGCTCCCATAGTTGATTGTTCTCAGGTGTGCACTCCTCACTGGTGTTATTGTTCATTTTATAGGCCTGTCTATTGTATGACTCTAATGTGATCTCCAGGAATGATTTCAGTTCCAAGTCTGAAGGGTGTCTAAGGGCCATAGTCTCGGGGGTTCCACGAGTCTCTATCAGACAGTAAATCTGGTCCTTATTTATGAGTTTGAATTCTGTTCTCCTTTTCGCCCTCACTCTGTCCTCTCATGTTTTTAAAGAAAGCAGTATCGCTCCTTAGATGCGAGGATGGCAAGACTTTGTCTCACATACTTTGGACATGTTATTAGGAGGGACCAGTAGTTGGAGAAGGACATCATGCTTGATAAAGTAGAGGGTCAGCGAAAAAGAGGAAGACCCTGAACGAGATGAATTGACACAGTGGCTACAACCATGGGCTCAAACATAGCAAAGATTGTGAGGATGGTGCAGGAATGGGCAGCGTTTTGTTCTGTTGTACATAGGGTTGCTATGAGTCATAACTGATCTGTCGGCACCTAACAACAACAGTCTTGCAATATCCCCATGACCTAATTGAAATGTCTTTGGCAACTAATAACCTCTCCTTGTTTTAATGACCATTATTTTTTAAAGAAGATAGATAATTATATTAAGCTTTGTTTTCTTTACCCGGACAAGCACAATTGTTTTAGGGATATGGGGGAAAGAGATATTTGCTAATATCATGGCAAATGCAGAACCTACAGACAAAGGTATGTAATTTGTAAAATAGCTGAGTGGGCAAAATTCTGATTTTCAGTTGCCCTAGGCACTTCAGCGCACTTCTGATAATGATTTTCTTTGGGCAAGTAGTTATACTGATAGAAATCACATCCATGCATAAAGAGTGAGCTTAATTATACATAACTACATACCTAACATGAGGCTTCATATTTTTACATATACTTTCCTGTTACAAGAATGAGACATTAAATTCTGTTTTCACAAAAGTAGTGTATGTCACCCTCAGAGCACAAGAGTTGGATCGTGTGAGTTGCCCATTTGCACTATCTCTTGCCTTTCCCTCTTTTCCTTTTGGGAATTGTTTTCATTACATGGTGAGTCCAGAGGGGGTTAAGAGATTTGCACTGAATCTTTCACAGTCTCATCTGGTCCCTGCTGTGACTCCAAGGACAGGCAAATGGATAAAAGCAGTTTTTTAGGGTTTTGGATGAGGTCAGTGGCAGAGCAAAATTAACTGGTCCTAATGATAATGACGTATCTTTACATCCTCAACTCATTTATACTGAGCCCAGTCATTTGAGCTCATATAATAAGAGCAGCCAACATAATTTCAGTGCTAATGTATGCTCCAGGCACCGTGCTAAATGCTTTACATGTATTATTTAATCTTCACAATCCTGTAAGGTAGGAATCAAATTCCTACTTTACAGATGGGAAAACTAAGGAACAGAAAGATTTGTTAACTTACCAAACCAAAACCAGTTGCCATGGAGCTGACTCCAGCTCATGGCAACCCCATGTGTGTCATAGTAGAACTGTTCTCCATAGGGTTTTCTGGATATAGATTGCCAGGCCTTTCTTCTGAGGCAACTTTGAGTGGACTCAAACCTACAACCTTTTGGTCAGCAGCTGAGCATGTTAACAGTTTGCACCACCCAGGGACTCCTAACTTGCAAAAGGCCCCAGTTAATAAGTTAACAAACCGAGGATTCAAACCTGGGCAGTCAGAGCCCTCACTCCTAGCCACTGTGTCATACAGCACTCCTGGTGCATCTTGGGCTTGACAGCAGGGTTCCCTTGTAAAAGAGTCAGGATTAAACCCAATAAAAATACACACTCAAGCTCCTACATGGCTGGGGTGAGTGGGGGAGTCTGAGCTAAGGTCAGGCACTGGGTCTGGAGGTAGAGGCTCTCCAACCAGGAAGGAAAATGCAAAAGGCAAGGACCATCTCCTTCTGGGCTCCCATTTGTTATGTGGTCGGTGAGAGGAAATAGGAGGAAGGGACATCTCCAAGCAGGCTTCCAAAGGAGTCAGGTCATTCTTTATGCCCTTGCTCGCTGGTTCTGTGCCCGTTTTCTTGAGGGCCCATAACTGCTACATCCTCTTCAGAACTGCCCTCTCTTGAGAAAACCACTTCTCCAGAGCTTAACTCTCCAGAATTCCTCTCCCCTGAGTGTAACTAACTGATTTCAGCTGAGTGTTAGATGGTGGAAGGATGAAATCAGGGCTTCAAACCCTACTGAGAATTTTCATTTCCACCGCAGGTATACTGAATCAGAATCTACATTTTAATAAGATCCCAGGTGACCCTTATGTATAATAAATTTTGAGAACCACTGCTCTACCAGTGGTTCTCAGAAGTGGTCCCTAACCAGCAGCATTAGCATTGCCTGGAAACTTGTTAGAAATGCAAATTATCAGCAGGGGTTGAACTGGAACATACCGGTTAAAAGCCCTGACTGAAATGAATAGACAATAAGATGAGAATAAGTCCTCTCCCCACAATTCCCTAATCCTCCCGAGAACATAGCAATATCTACATTTCTGAAAGAAGTGGTTTTAATGCAAATGACTCCCCTAGTGAGGGAGACATTTCTGAACAGGGAGGGGTATTGATGGATTCTACCAGAAATTGAGAGGCTCAACCACCCGTGTCCTAGGGATTGGTTGTGGTAATCTGGGAGCAGGGCTTCAAACCAGTCGGAAATGGTTCAGTAATTGATGACATAAACAAGGACAGTGTAAATTCATGTTTCAGGAACTAGAGCTTCACATCTGTAGGTGGCATCTTTGGGAATCATTTTGTGGACCTGAAGTCCTGTACCCTTCTTGTTATCAAGAAGTAGCGTGCTGCTCCAAATTATGCTTCTGGTCATCAGAACCCTCTGGCATTTCCCACAGACATTAGCAATGTTTACTACATTGCACCTGAATAATTATACCTCTAATTAAGCAAAAAATATTTTCTGGTGATTTTCATCCTAAAGCATAGTCTTCTTTTCAAAACTGGCTTCATTTAATGATAGTGACAGTTTGCAGTTGAGTCATAGGAAGGATTTGTTAGGACATGTTTAAATGGAATCCAGGAAATGTCATATGAATAAAAAGAACAAAAAGCTTGAAGACTGAATTTAAGACAAGGGGCTATAAGGTATTGACTGAGATCATGGCCAGGGATACTCTTCCACTCCCCACCACATTCTTATCTTCTTGTTTGACCCCTTTTTTATGTCACTAATAAGGCCATACAGTGCATGATATCAGTGTCCTTCTGAATGAGGAAAAAAATTAGCCTACCCTGAAAATACTGCCCCATTTTGTCTCTTGACCCCAAAACTACCACCCAGATCCCACCATGACATTTTTAAGTTAGACTAATTTAAAAGAGGCATTATTAAATTAAACTAATCCAAGGACAACCAGAATAGGTTTGTTTTAATTTTCTATTATTTATTTCATTTTAATTACAGCCACTTGGGGCCAGTGACTATTTGGAACTGTCAAGGAATTTTGATACAGTATTTTTACGAAACATTCCACAGTTTACCCTAGCAAAGAGGACTCAAGCTCGAAGATTCATAACACTCATCGATACCTTTTACAATTTCAAGGTGAGGATGTAGTATATTTTCCCAAAACTAAATATTCTGGACTCTGGAGCCAGATTGCCTAGGCCAGAATCTGGCTCTATCATTTACTTCACTTATGTGTGCTTCAGTTTCCTCATCTGTGAACTGGGGATAATAATAGTATTTACTTCATAGGGTTGTTGTCTGCATAAAGCATTTAAAACAATACTTGCTACAAGCTGAATACTATATAAGTACTATTATTATTACTAGTGTTATGGATTGAATTGTGTCCCCCAAAAATGTGTGTCTTCTTGGCTAGGCCATGATTCCCAGTATTGTGTGGTTGTCCTCCATTTTGTGATATGATATAATTACCTATGTGTTGTAAATCCTAACCTCTGTGATGTTAATGAGGCAGGATTAGAGGCAGTTATGTTAATGAGGCAGGACACAATCTACAGGATTACGTTGTATCTTGAGTGAATCTCTTTTGAGATATAAAAGAGGGAAGCGAGCAGAGAGAAGCGAGCAGAGAGAAGACACACCTTACTACCAAGCAAGAAGAGCCAGGAGTGGAGCGCATCTTCTGGACTCAGGGTCCCTAAGCTGAGAAGCTCCTAAACCCAGGGGAATATTGATGACAAGGACCTTCCCCCAGAGCCAGCAGAGAGAGAAAGAGTTCTCCTGGGGCTGGCACCCTGAATTTGGACTTATAGCCTCCTAAACTGTGAGAGAGTATACTTCTGTTAAAGCTGTCCACTTGTGGTATTTCTGTTGTAGCAACACTAGATAACTAATACAGCTAGTAATAGTAGTTGGTATAGTAAAAGTCCCATCACAAAACAGTCTGATATACCAACAATTCCATCATTCTGCCGGACAGATCATGTGCTCCATCTATGACAATGTACAACACAGTGCCTTGTCTAGTGTGAGTGTCCAATAAATACTTAAGCATCAGTAAATGATTGACTGATTGAATAATGAATGAACAAATGAATGAATGACAAAAGGACCCTCCTCAGTATTGGAGCTCTCTCTCCCTATGACCCAGACACTCCAGTGACTAGTATTATAGCATCTCGTTGCTTGGCTATTTTATCCAAAGATCTCTGTTTTAGAATGAATTGCAGAGCCATTGCGCATGCATCAGAGGCAGTATTTCCCGGTGGTTAGGGAGTGGGTCCTGGGGTCAGGCTGTCTACTCAGAATATGTGCTTAACCTCTCTGAGCTTAAATTTTCTTCTCTACAAAAGGGGAATAATAATAGTACCTATCTCATAAGGTGGAAACCCTGGTGGCACAGTAATTAGGAGCTATGGCTGCTAACAAAAAGGTTGGCAGTTCGAATCTATCAAGTCCTCCTTGGAAACCCTATGGGGCAGTTCTATCCTGTCTTCTAGGGTTGCTATGAGTCGGAACCAACTCGACGGCAAGGGGTTTGGTTTTGGGTTTTTATCGCATAAGTTTAAGTAAGTTTGTAAAGCACTTAGAATGTTATCTGGCATATACTAAACTCCCAATAAAGATGAGCCACTATTAATAGTTTCTATAAATACATATTTAAAGTGAAAGTATAATTTCACATTAAAAAACTCAACTCGTTGCTGTCAAGTGGATTCCAAGTCATAGTGACCCTATAGGACAGAGTAGAACTGCCCCATAGGGTCTCCAAGGAGCGGCCGACCTTTTGGTTAGCAGCCAAGCTCTTAACCACTGAGTTAATTTAAATATTATTTTAATGTTATATACAAATTTTCTCCCTGTTCCTTGTATAGAGATAGAGCAATGGTTCTAAAATTTGAAGGGACTTTGGGGAGAGGGAATTAGTAACAGAATCTGCTGGGGGGAGAGAAGAGAGTTTCATGTTTCCTTTGTTCATTCTGCTCCACAGTAACTGTGCGGGGTCCAGAGTGACAGGAGAGAGGCTGGAGGTGGGCACTCTGTTTTTAAAGGATGCTTGTGCTTCAAGAGGAGCCCTGGTGGCACAGTGGTTAAGAGCTGTGGCTGCTAACCAAAAGGTTGGCAGTTTGAATCCCCCAGCCACTCCTTGGAAACCCTATGGGGCAGTTCTACTCTGAACTGTAGGGTGGCTGTGAGTCAGAATCTACTCGATGGCAATGGGTTTGGTCTTGGGGTTTTAGTGCTTCAAGAAGAAAACGGCAGAGGGACATTAATAGGTGGTTCTTAGAGTGAAGAATTGATAACCTTTATTTTTTTAATTTCAGCTAGGAATACCATAAAGTTTTTGACCACCATCTCTCAGTCCTACCCCCTAATCCTATCTCATCCCCATTTTTCACCTTTTAATTAAAGGAAAAAGAGATTTATCTGGCAATATGATAGAATACCTGAACTACTTTCCTTACATTTGCTTTAACTAAGTCACACATTTTGAATTTATGCTCTTTTATAAAGAAGTAGTTGAAATTGTCTATTTTAGAAATTGGGAACATTAAACAGACATTATTCTAGAATGTACTCATGGAAATTTGTGAAATAATGGGTATTTCCATCCAAATAATGAAAAAAATATCATTTTTGATTAGAAGAGCTTATAAGAGGAGATATCAGTCTTGAAGGAAGAATCGCCAGAATGTTCCTTAGAAGCAAGGATGGTGAGACTTCATCTCACTTACTTTGGACATGTCATCAGGAATGACCAATCTCTGGAGATGGACATCATGCTTGGTCAGGGTCAGCAAAAAAGAGAAAGACCCTCAATGAGATGGACTGACATGGTGGCTGCAACAATGGGCTTAAACATAGTACAGGACTGGGCCGTGTTTTGTACTGTTATATATAAGGTCACTGTGAGTTGGAGCTGACTTGATGGCACCTAACAACAACAATGAAAAAGAAGGTAGAAGGTCATTTAGGTATGGAAAAGCTAGTCCCAAATGTCAATAGGTTATTTTAAAGAATTGATGTTTTAGTTAAATAATGATTTTAAAAGGATAGCTGTGAAACATGAAAACAAAATCAGGACTGTAAACATCAAGAGGAGTATGTTATGTATTTAAGCTAACGGACATAAAATTTATAAAAGATAAAAGCCATTTTCAGTATGTGGTCACATATGCACACTCAAATACTTAATGTAGTCAAGAAATATTAATGTAAATCCTAGTCTTTTTGAAGACTGTCCTGGCGGGACGCTGATATGTAAGTGTGGTTTCTGGAAACACAGGTATAATTACGGTAGCAATGCACTGAACTTAGCAGTCCCCTATGCAGCAGCAAAGTGGTAACCTCTCTCTGGTGCATCTGGGAACACCTCTGGAACAGAGACTGGCTCCAGACACCCAGGGATAAGTGTCAACATCAGGGTATAATGGAAAGAGCACTGGACTTAGAATCGGAAGATTAGGTTGACATCCTGGGCTGAGACCTCTCCAGGCTGAAGTTTCCCAGTAAAACTTTTGTTCCCTACTTCACAGGATGGTCTAAGATGTGTGGAAATATTTTGAAAAGTGCTATGCAGTTAAAAATCTCATTTTAAAGAGACACAAACTACTAGATCTTTTTAAAGCAAAGATCAACAGATTTTTATTTTGTGAAAGATTTGTTCTTCAACTTGTGCAATGTAAGGAGCAGCACCATTTGCTCACTTTCCTCTGTTTCAGGTGCGCATGATTTGCTCTGCATTGACTCCTCTATCAAGCCTATTTCTGCATCAACATCATGACAGTGAGTTGGAGCAAAGCAGAATACTGATGGATGATTTGGGGCTGAGCCAGGTAGGCGATATTAACATAATCTCTTTTTATTATAAAACAGCTTAATTGGTTTGGGTCTGATACATGGCTACATTTTGCAGAAGGAATACAGTATATATTTAACCACTGGTTACTGCTTTCTTCTAAGGCCATTGTAGCAGACTTATCATTCTCAATATCACTAAATGTAGAAAATTAGTCTTAGAGAGCAAGGAAATTTAGTGATCATGTAGTCCAACACTGCATTTTGCATATGGCAGAAACAAAGCCCACAGAGCTCAGCCGCAGGCACACAACTGATTAACAGCAGCCCAGAGAGGATGCCAGGGCACCTGTGTCTGGTTCCAGGCTCATTCTACCACACTGTGCCGCCTTTTCTGGATATTCTTCTTCCTGTTTCTGGATTTGTCAAGTGCATGATACAGTGGCAATGCATGTAGGCTGGCTATTCCAGGACCATGGAGTGCCTAGCAACGCCCTTGGCTTAAAAAGAAGTCCATGAGTCATCTCCCAACCTCCATCCAGCAAACATTTATGAAGCACTTGTGGGTGCCAGAAGGAACCCAGCTGATGCAGTGGATGAAGCGCTTGACTGCAAACTGAAACGTTGGTGGTTCGAAACCACCAGCGCCTCCACAGGAGAAAGATGTGACAGTTGGCTTCCGTAGAGATTTTCAGCCTTGGAAACCCTATGGGGTTGCTCTGAGTTGGAATCAACTTGACAGCAGTGGGTTTGGTGTGGGTGCCAGACTCTGGGGACACTCAGTAGGGAAATGTCGATCTGGCCCAGTCCTGGAGCTTAGAGTCTGGTCATTGACCCCAAGCAAAGCAGAAGTGACTGCATTTCCTTCTGTAAGAACGGCACAGAGTGTATTTCTCAGCTATAGACAATTGATATATTAGTAAAGCTTTTAAATCCACACTCACCTGGAGAATGAAGGAAGCCCCCTTCTTCCAACCCCAGAGGTGAAAGGTCATTTGGAAGGAGAAAATAGTTCCTCATTGACCTCAGTAGAAACTATGCATTCTCAGGAATTTGGGAGAATAAAGTCAACAATCCTTTTAAAAGTGGACTTTCAAAATATGATTACTTCAACCAAATGTAGAAATAAGTAGCTGTTTATAGAACCACGGGCTGGGACTTTTTGAAATGGAGGTTTCTCTAAGAGCAATACTTAATCTAAATATTGTCTTTGATAATTTGAAAGAATACATTTGAGGGGTGTCTTAGCTATCTAATGCTCCAGTAACAGAAATACCACAAGTGGGTGACTTTAAAAACCAGAAATTTATTTTCTTGCCATTCAGGAGGCTAGAAGTCAGAATCCAGAGTGATGCCCTAGAGGGAAGTCCTTCCTTGTCTGTTTCAGTTTCTGGTAGCTGCCAGCAATCCTCGTAGATCGGTCTTTGTCACCTGTCTTCCTCTTCTCTCTCTGTATATATCTCCGTGTCCATTGTGCTCTTTTTATAACTCAGAAGTAATTAGACTTAGAACCCACTCTGTTTGGGTATGACTTAATTAACAACAAAACAAGCCTTATTTCCAAACAGGCTCATATTTACAGGTATAGGAGCCAGGGTTTCAGTGTATATTTTGGGAGGACACAGTTTAATCCATAACAAGGAGCTACATCTTCTCAGTTTCTAAAGTCCTCTTAATCATTGACTCTTAAATTTTTTCACCCCCTAAGATCAGGGTTCAGACATAGGGCAAAGTAAGCTCAGCACTTGGGGGCAGTAATATATGAAGAAACTAGGGAATGTAACCTCACGGTCATGAGGATCAATGGAAGATGGACTTAAGAGTCCAGGGTTTTTCTCTGAAAGAGTCTACTAGCCAACCCCTCAGGAAAGATGAAAAGTCAAAGCCCTCTTAGTGGTCACAAGCCCACGTTGGTGTTACCAGTCCTGGACTGTTTAACAGCCTTACAGGGACCAAAATCTGTTGCCGTTGAGTCGATTCGGACTCATAGCCACCCTATAGGACAGGGTAGAACTGCCCTATAGGGTTTCCAAGGAGCAGCTGGTAGATCCGAACTGCCGACCTTTTGGTTAGCAGCCAAGCTCTTAATCACTGCACCACCAGGGCTCCGACAGGGGCAGGGCCCCCCAATTTAACACTAGATGAAGGGATCCAATGTTCTAGCAGCTCAGGACCCAAAGCAGCTGTGAACTTTGTAAAGTAAGATCCCAGACACATTCTCCAGGGCCCCCACTGGAGGCCTTGCAGTGATCTGGTTTGGAAAACGGCCTTCAGAGGTTTGTCCTTAGCCTTCCCCACAGGCATGAGAACTTGTCCATTAAGCTTCAGAGGAGAGAGCTTTAGCCGCTTCCTAAAATTGCCAGAATGGCTGTTCTTTGCTGTTATCGATTTCTGACCTACCCTTTGGACAAAGAATTCATTTTCTGTCTGGAATGTCTTTTCGTTAGATTCTTGCAGAGAACTTTAATTTTAAGCAAAAACTTTCATATTTGGATTTTTCTGGCATTTGCTGAAATGTTTTATTTATACTTTTAATGTTTTTCCTATTAAGTCTTCTTCCCTGGTCATTTGTTCTGTTTGCTTTCTGTTGGTTTAAATTAGTTGATCCTCTGGTCTATTTTAAGAGATTGTACAGTGAAAGCTGTGAGAGCTGGAACTTGATGGAACTGCCCTGGTCTTCCTGGTGTTGCAAGTTTTCCGCCTCTGACAGGGTGCTGTCTCACCACTTTTCTATCACTCTGTATTAGTGGAAAATATTTGCGTTTTCCTTCTCTGACAGGATTCCGCCTTATACAGGTTCTGGCTTTCGCAAGTTTTACTATGTATGAAGAAATCTGTAGTAAATTTTGTAATTTAAGAAGGTACACCTATGGAGAAACCCCCAGAGTATGGACCCCGGACACTGTTTTAGCTCAGTAATGAAGTCATTCCTGAGATTCACCATTCAGCCATTGATTAGCCAGCCCCATAAAACAAAATGAGACTAATGGGGCACAACAGCCCAGGGACAAGGACTAGAAGGCAGAAGCGTACGGGAAAGCTGATAATAGGGAACCCAAGGTCAAGAAGGGAGAGTGTTGACATGTTGTGGGGTTGTTAACCAATGTTAAAACCATAAAACAATATGTGTACTAACTGTTTAATGAGAAACTATTTGTTCTGTAAACCTTCATCTAAAGTACAATAAAAAAAAAAATTAAATAAATAAATAAAAAGGTACAACTAAAAGGCTTTTAAAATCCTGTACTTAGTTCTATAAATTTTCATTTGTGGTGGTTTTGATTGTTGCTGGGTTTATTTTGTAACCAGGACGCAGCGGAAGGACTTTCCATGTTCACTGGGGAAGAGGAAATCTTTGCATTTCAGCGCACGATTTCCCGACTCACAGAAATGCAGACTGAGCAGTACTGGAATGAAGGGGACAGAAACAAAAAGTAACTGTCACTTTTGCATGAATAAAACTCTGGACAAATGATTAATGTGGGGAGAACTGTTGCAGGAGTTGAAAGAATCATTTTCTCATCATTAATTATGCACTTTGTTCTGTGGACCATTTTTATCTAAAATTGCTGTCAAAGATGTAGTGGATTAGTAAGTTAAAGCTATTTTCATAGGTTACTTTTTTGCCATTTATTTGGAGTTAATTCTGCACCACAAAATTAAAATCAGCACTCCAGAAGACTAATGTAGGACCAGACTTTTTAGCTTTATGTTAAGCCACCTGAATGAACCTGGAGTGCACAAACACCGGTGAGCACAGTGTGTTTGGATGTCTCCAAGGTTTGGCTACACGGTGGTCGCGTGATAGAAACACATCTTTCATGAAAGGAAGAAAGAGCCCTACATTTCTATTCAAGACAAAGAAAATGTTCTGATTTATTACAACTAGAGTGAATCATGTCTTAGAATATGGATTATAATATGGTCTTTTTGGTATTAACTATAATAAACCTCCCAGGCCTTCAGGTTCCCTTGCGGTGGAGAGTATGTCTTTTACCCTGAGAGCAAGCTTCACAGGCAGGACCTGATCTCAAGCCCACCCAGAGTTGCCTGAAAAAAATCAAAGATATGACACCATCAGATGTAGAGCAAGACTGGCAAATTCCAGCTGACAGGCAGATCTTCAGGCGGGTCTCCCAACTCTGACAGCCAGCAGGAGTGGGGACCCATGAGAGAGCATCAGGAGGGGGCAGAGTCATAAACATGCCAAGCAGCACAGTGGCGACAGCTCATCTCAGGCTGCCAGGGCCCCAGGGGACAAGTAGTTTCCTTTGCACTGTATCTGTGCCTTTGTTCTTGCTGCAGCCCTGGTGGCACAGGGGTTAAAGAGCTCAGCTGCTAACCAAAAGGTCAGCAGTTCGAATCCACCAGCCACTCCTTGGAAACCCTATGGGGCAGTTCTGTTCTGTCCTACAGAATCTCTATGAGTCTGAAATGACTCAACAGCAACGGGTTTGGTGTTTTTTGGTGCAGCATGCCACAACTCACCCCCATCGCCCTTGCTGCTGCTGCTGTGCGGAGACAGGCCTAATAGTAAGCAGGAAAGAACACTTAAACCTATTTTAAATTAAGCCTGATTTGTCCTTTATTGGGGTCATTTCTTGATTCATTTGAATAAAACCTGACTTTGCTAACTATTGTGACAGAGCGAAAGTTGGGTAAGGCTCTTAGAAGAGTCTAGATCCCTCTTTTAAAAGGAAAAAAGAAAGTGTGAAATTCACAAATTCTTATGAAAATCAAGCATTTTGTTTTGGTTGGCACAAGTGCATCAGTTCAAATAAATGATTACAAGTGTCAGTATAAGTAAGCTCCTTAAACCTATTTTATTTATTAATTATCTACATCAGCCTATTTTGGACATTAGCCTATTTAAGTCAAACATATATACGGATTAGGTACCCAAGTATAGAGAAAGGATGGGAAGTAACCACTATGGGCCAGATTCAATGCTAGGTATCTACATTATCTAGTTAAAAAATAGTTCTCTAAAGTTAATCATCCCTGTTTATAGATAAGGAAACAAGCTTGGAAAAAGTTAAATAGCTTGACCCGAGATTCAGGGCTTTCAACTACAAAACTCATGTACTGCATTTTACACCACACTGCCTCTTATCTCACTATAAAAAAAGAAATTTTGAATGTTGATTTCATTATTTTTTTAACTCAGTGAAGATGAATTTATAATAGAACCATTGCTTTTGAACTCAATAAATATAAAATATTTATCTTAATTCTTTAAACCTTAGCTTTTTGATTTTCACATTTCTTTGGCAATTATTCTGTATCTTAGTAAAAAGATGGTGTGGATGGATGGACAGACAGACAGATTGATAGAAAGAGGAACTAACCCTGAATATGTGAATGTATATAAAACAGACCTCAACTTATTCTTAAGTTCTGTTGTGAAAGTTCATTTGAGGTCAGATATTTGGAAATAAAATTTCATTTTCCACTGAAATAATATAAAGTTAGATAGAGCCCTGGTTCAATGCACAGAGGTCTATGCAGTTGCCAGTGTTGCTGTTTTTATTACTTGTCATCAAGTCAACTCTGACTTATAGTGACCTGACAAGTGAACTTTGCCTGGTCCTGCACCATCTTCATGATTGTCGCTATGTCAGTGCAGCTGCCCTATAATGTTAATACCACAGAACTGAAGCATCTTTAAAACATTGTTTCTGTAGTGTAGAACTGTAGTTCAGGCTCCACCTGAGTAACTGGAGCCTGTCCCCACCTCTGTCCCCCATCTCACATGGCAGCTCCCTGGGCCTGGTGGGAGAGTTCATGGTGGAAGAGGCTTCCTGAGCTGCGGGTGGGGTTTATGCAAGGAGGAGAGCTCTCCTGGAGCAGGGCTGCAGGGGCTTGGTTGGGATTGGTCTTAAGGGGGAGGGAAGAGGAGGGAGCTCAGGGTACTGGAAATGGTACATCTTTATGCTCCTATCTCCTCTCCACAAAGTCTGTTTCATAAAATAGCACATGAGAAAAAGAAACAACAGTCTTACAGAATAGCTGTGGTTACAAGAAAACAATACAGTAGTTCTACTAAAAGAAAATCAGTGCCCAAATGAGATATGAACAACGACTTCTAGACTGGAAAGCATCGTTTCAATTCGTGTGTTTTTCTTCTGAGTCCTGCCTCTATTACATGCTCAGCATTCTTGTCTTTCTCCCCGGGTTTGCATAAAATCTCTCCGAGCAAATGCTCCTTTTTGGAATGCCTAAATTTATACTTAAAGATGGTTATTTGGCCGAGTTCTGCTGTGGAACACCCCCAGTCACATAGAACTCCAGACTGATGAGGTCCTTTATGGTAGGGGAAAATGCTGTGTGCTAAGGGCCGCCCTCCAAAATGATCACTAGTGCCCAGACTTAAAAGAAGACAAGCAAAGAAAAAGGAAAACGTTTCATAACAAAAGAAAAAGAAAAACGGGATCACTGTATTATTATTATAGTTCTTTAAGCAGTGGATGAGCTTACTTGCTGACTTTAGGAATATGAGAAGGAAAACATGTGAACTTTTAAACCTATTTTTAATGTTTATTAGGCCAAAAAGACAACAGTGCCATTGTAATCAAATGTATGCATTTTCAGTGGGATTTCAAATTTTAGTCATAGGACAATACCTTTATCTTCCTGAAGTATATTTCCTGGACCGGCAAGTGTACAAATAACAATTTGAAAATTACTTCAGGATTTTGAAAAAAAAATTTTAAATTTCATTTCCAAAATATATAAATGGCTGTGCATATATCCATTTATTTGTTTAATATTAGTTATTTAATTTAAGAAACACATAGTGCTTAGTGTGTGTCTGGCATGGTCCAGAGTGCTTTATAAATAAACTCTTCTGATCCTCATAGCCGTCTTAGAGATAGGTTATCACTATTTTACAGGCAGGGGAGCTGAGGCACGGAAAATGGGTATAACAGAATATTGAATTGCTAAAATGTCCATTGGAATCAGTAAAACAAAACACTAATTTATTAAACTTTCAATCCAACTGCCTCTGTCCCAAAAATGGCATTTCTAATCCAAGGAACTCGAACCTACACTTGCAGCCCCTTCATCTGGGATTAAAAACACCCAAAGTGATAAGGGTCCTGACTTTCTGACTTTGGGGTTCCTGTTCAATTATGGGAACCTGTCTGGCAGCAGGTCTGTAAGTGATCTTGTAAGTTATAAGTGATCTTCATCAGATCCACTAATCTCACGAGACATCACTTGTTGGTAGAAAAGGACTTTTTTTGGAGATAAGTTTAAAACTTTTTCTTAAGGCAGAATTAACATTAGTTTTTCCAATTAGCAGGGAGCCTCTTGGAGGTGCAATGATTAATGTTCTCGGCTGCTAATCAAAAGCGTGGAGGTTGAAGTCCACCCCAGAGGTGCCTGGGAAGAAAGATTTGGTGATCTACTTATGAGAAATCAGCCATTGAGAACCCTGTGGAGCACAGTCCTACTCTGACACATGGTCGGAATCACCTTGATGGTAACTGGTTTTTGTTTTTTTTTCATTAGCATATAAACAAAACCAAACCCATTGCCGTCAAGTCGATTCCGACTCATAGCAACCCTATAGGACAGAGTAGAACTGCCCTATAGTGTTTCCAAGGAGTGGCTGGGGGATTTGAACTACCAACCTTTTGGTTAGCAGCCGAGCTCTCATCCACTGTGCCACCAGGTTTCCTCCATTGGCATAGCAGTTCATTTTTCTGGCAATGAGAATTATAAATAACAAAATCTGCCCTCTCATTGTGTGTGTGCCGACTCTGTACAGCATCTTACTGGAAACCTCACATCTGTTACCTTCTGTCTGCAATGGCATCAAACTCCAGGAGGACATCATCTGTCTGTGAAGTTTCCTCTCTCAGGACTGTACTCTGCAGGTCACACAGTGGCTGGCTACTGTCCTCTATGATGTGCCTGCACTTCTCAGAGCACAGTGAGAAGCACTCAGGATCTGGAACTGGAAAACCTGGTTCTGCCACCTATTGCTTTGTGACCTTGAACAAGGCTGCTCCAAGCCCCCGTTTTTCATCTGTAAGTGGAAATGATAATGCCCATTTCATAGAGTTGTTCTGAGGACAGTTGATGAAAAGCATTTTGCACATGGTAAGGGATTAAATAGATACTGTTATTGATACTAACGATTATGATCATAAAGTGACAATAAATACTTACTGTCTGCTTTGCACTATAGCCCTTTGAGGAACACAGAACAGTAGGAGTCACATCCCAACCCAATAAGTTTCTAGTGGAAGAGAAAAGGTACACATTAAATGACTAGACACCAAGGGCACAGAATTCTGGCTTAATAAGATGTTGTGAAATTCAAATCCATTCAAATCTTCAGGATTGTTTAATACAGAAAATAGATTCTTGCTGCAGTTTAGTGAGCTCTAAGATTGCTCAGAAAGATGGCACCATCTTGTGGTCATTGGGATGAACTGACAGTAAAACTAAATCAAGAATGGCACAGGGTTAGGAACAGTGGTTCTCAATGCTGCACATTCCTAGGCCTAGGTCCCACTCCCAGAGATTCAGATATAATTGGCAAGAAGTGGGGCCTTGGCATTTGTACTTTTTAATGTCCCCCTATGGAATTCTAATGGCAGCCAGCATTGAGAACCACTGATCAAGCCATCTGTGGAGCTCTTGCCCGTGACCACACGCCAGTTGGCACATAGATTTAGGCCTAGAGCTGGGTCTCCTGACTCTTGCACCAGGGAGCAAAGGCTGCTGCTGTGAGGCCTATGGGCCCTGGAGCCACCAGGACATCTCAAGGCCTTCCCTGGTGCCTCCCAGTACCTGCTCCTCTCTATCTTGGTGCCATAGACCCTTCTGCCTTTCCTTTCCACCCTCACTAACAACAACATATCTAACTGGGTAGGGCTTCCTAGTTTACAAAGCATTTGTTCCTACCCTATCATTTTATCCACAGCAATTCTCTGAGGAGGTGTGATTATTCCCACTTCCCATGAGGAAACCGAGGCACCAGGAGATTAAGTGGTTTGACCAAGGTAACACAGCTGGTAAGTGGCAGACTGTTAC